ACATGTAATGGAGAACCTAGACTTTCTTAGCTCGTCATTAATTTCTGTGTTCAGGCTGAAAGCACCTGCTGTGTCCGCCTGCTACGGCACTTTAAACACTTCACATGAGCCCTATGTTAATGTATATGTGTGTGTGAGTTTATGTTTCCATTAATGCTTGTGTGAAAGGAGCGATAATTCAGTTTCACTTACCCAGAAAGCGTTTCTCTTTCTCCCTCTCTCAAAAGAAAAGCATTCCGGCATACATTCATTCTGAATTTTCACGGAAAAAAATTGAAAAAGCATCCATTTACACATTAAGGCCCATTCGTTCTAATGACTGTCATTTAACCACAATGAGCCCAGTGTTTCAGGTGTTTGCCCATTCATCATCGCTCCGATTCATTGTTGATTTGCCTGGACTGCGAAGCCAAAGCGCATGATCAATGAGTCTTCCCGCTGTGTCCAATTCAAAAGGAATGACCCCGCTTTCTTTTTCTCCTCTCCTCTCATTGCTTTCTCCCAGTGGAGGGAAAATGTAAGATAGACACGAACGTTCCTGGTATACACTCACATCTGTCTATACTTCGTAGATTCTTTTGTTTCATAGTGGATTCAGCACGTTTCCTTCAGTAGCAGTAGTACTGTGATGCAAATAACCAAGACTTGCAGCTTGAAAGTCCTCACTTGTAGAGAAAAAAACATGTTAGTAAAAGGGTGGAAAAAAACACTATAAGATTTCTGCTAATATTTAAAAGCAATTAAGCAGCTTCACACAAATGTATGATGGGAAATCACACTTTATGGTTTTACTCTGAGATGTTTTCACAGCACGCTAATCGAGAACATTTGGCTAATGCAGCAAGTTTGCTTTTAATTAATTTGAGTAATTTACTAGAGATCTTGTAGTGCGATTTCTCACCCTTAAGTGTTTATTAGATGCTTAGTATTCAGCAAGAGTGAATCTGTATCTAAATAATTCATCTGTAAATGCTTACAGGCTAGAGATAACTTTATTTTTTTCTCTGCTATCCCTCCTTTCCCCTTTCTTCCTCCTTCTCTGACTCCAAATTTCCCTTTTCCCGTTCCCGCCTCTTCACCTCTCTCCTATGCCTTTGCTACTTTTTTCTTCTCTTTTGACCCCAAATCCTAACCTCTATATCTTTGCTCCACCTTAATTTCTCCTCTTATCTTCTCACATCTTTGTACCTACTTTTCATCACTTCCTTTGTGATGAAAATACATAATACCTTTCCTTTTAACTGTCTGCTTCCTCCAACCCTTCTTGTCTTTTTACCTTCAATTGTTCCCTCTTGCACGTGGTTCCCTATCTCTCTTTTGTTTGTTGCTCCTTCGTCTTCTTCTGTTTTCTCTCTTCCACCTCTCCTTCTCTCCATTCTTTTTTTAGTGGGAGGAGATCAGCGGGGTGGATGAGCACTACACTCCCATCAGGACCTTCCAGGTGTGCAACGTGATGGAGTACAGCCAGAACAACTGGCTTCGCACCAATTGGATCGCTCGCCAGTCGGCCCAGAAGATCTACGTGGAGCTGAAGTTCACGCTAAGGGACTGCAACTCCATCCCGCTGGTGTTGGGCACCTGCAAGGAGACCTTCAACCTCCTCTACCAGGAGACGGACGACGACCAGGGCACCCACTTCAGAGAACACCTGTACACCAAGATCGACACCATCGCCGCTGATGAGAGTTTCACCCAAATGGACCTCGGAGATCGCATCCTCAAGCTGAACACTGAGGTGCGCGAGGTGGGCCCCATGACCAAGAAGGGCTTCTACCTGGCGTTCCAGGACGTGGGCGCCTGCGTAGCTTTGGTTTCAGTGAGGGTTTATTTCAAGAAGTGCCCGAACACTGTGAGGAATCTGGCCTCTTTCCCTGATACGGTGCCCATGGACTCCCAGTCGCTGGTGGAGGTCAAAGGGTCATGTGTCAATCACTCCAAAGAGCAGGAGCCTCCGCGAATGTACTGCAGCACGGAGGGCGAGTGGCTCGTGCCAATCGGGAAGTGTCTTTGTAACCCGGGTTACGAGGAAAGAAGCAACACCTGCCAAAGTAAGACAGCTTTTTATCTATCCGTTTTTTTCCCTAGTCTCTCATACATTCTTTGTCATTGTTTGAAATGTGATACAATGCAACGTTTGTAGAAGGGTTGGATGAAAAGACCTTCACACTTCATGTCTGTCAGCCAAAACGTATAATATGTTTTGCCTTATCTATACATATGTGTATGTTTTTCTGTGTATGTCATTCTGCACCTTCAAAAGAACCCAACAAATCCCACAGCGCTGTTGGAGAGTATGCATGTGTGCAATGTGCAGTAGTCCAATAGTGATCTTCTGTGTCACACATCATTAGCGATGGGAAGCTCTTGACCAGAGTAGCAGGGATGGGACTGATAACCCAGAAGAAAGGAGTGGGCAGGAGTGGATGGTGAATAATGGAATGGTTGCGGTGGTGGTTGCGGGTGTTGGTGGAGTCATGAGTGAGTAGACGTTGGAGTCTGGAGATACTCGATCTCGCCCCAAAGTCTGTTGTTGCCTCCGAGGTGGTTGAAAAAGCCAAAAAGTATACGTCTGGCAGGCCTGGCTTTGCCTTTTTATTTCAGACTGTCTGCGACATCATCATCACACATGCTTTGCAGGGCGACTGGCTTGAGTTGTTGCCAGCTGGTTATTGAAGAGATTCACAATGTCTCCTTGACTGAAGTCACTTAATATGTTTTTGGGTCCTTGTGCTGATCCTTTGGACATATTTCTGTTTAAACGACACACAACCTGAGGGTTTTACTCGCAGATGTTTCTGTTTTCCATGTTTATTGATTGTAATTGTCCATTGAATGTCCTTTTTCCTCACCATTTCACTTTATTTCACCTTAAGTACTTGGACATGAAGTAAATAATGCCCCATGGTATCTTTTATAGCCCCTTTGGGATCAAGCAACCAGTGGGTTCAAAGGTTAAGTGTCACAAGGAGCCTTTCATTTCAGCACACAACCTCCCAATGGGATTAACATTAACAGTGTAATGGGTTATAATCCCCCCAGAAGTATGTTTATTTTCTAACCTTTTATTTATAAAGGGTTGCATGTATGCGCATAGACATAAGATAACTATATCATTTAACAAACTTAGCTAAATTGAATTTCCTGTGTGTGGCTTCTGCGGCCAGCGTAACAGCTTTCATCAATTACAGTTGCAGTACTTCATCAGCGTTTCCCTGCGACGAGATGTTTTGCATCTGTGCAGTAGCTCATCCAGTGCAGCGGCTCCATTAAAGGGATGCCGTAGTGTCCCATAGCTTCAAAGAAAGTAAAGCAGCGAAACACTTTTCTACAGTACGTAAGAGCATATGATGTTTTGAAATAGTAAAGTAAATGAACAGAAGTGGTATGTACTTGTTTACTTCAGACTTGAGTTGTTTATGTATCTGTAGATTTGTTTGCCCACTCCAAAGAGAGAGCTGAATCACTAGTGGTTTTGTGGTATTTACTCCATTAAAAGAAAAACATATTAAAACCATTTATATAAACATAAGGACATGTAAACAGGATCAAATAGAATTAAAAAAAATGTATTTGACATAAGAGGTTAAAGAAAAAAATGTACACATTGTATTATAATATAAATAAAAACCACTAATGAGTAGCTCCATCTGCATGTGCAATGCTTCTCCAACAGTCTTTTATTGTGGCTACTTCCTGTGTGTCCATATCACTAGATGTGCTCGTCTTTACTCCGTTTTTAGCAAGCTCCTAACTCTGCTTCAGAATTCACATGCAGCAGCTATTTGAAGCCACCTCTGCACTGCGGCTGTTCCACAGTGTCTTTAAAGTAACACAAAAAGAAGTGTTGGAGGTTTCTAGAAAAAGCTGCTTGTTTTTAGCCTTTGCAGTCCTAGTCATTGTCCCTGGCCCTAAATGCTCCCATGTTCATCCACTATATCCTCTCCATGGCCATAACCAGTGTTAATTAAAGATCAAAGGCAGGCTCCCAGGTCAGGCCCCTGCTGTCAGGGCCAAAGGAAGCTCTTTTTCTGGCTCTGTGGACCGCAGAGCAGCTTGTCTCACTGTCCAGATGCGAGGAAACTTTGTCGCAGCTGCCAGGTGATAAATGTAAATAGTAAACAGACTGAGGGGAATGTGAAATGGAAGCCGAAAATGACAACAAAACCTGATGCCCTCATCGTTTTAACCTTATTTTTCCCTTAAAAGAGGGTGTTGAAAACCTTAAAGTCGTTAGAGTAACTCTTAATTTCAGTTGTCCCATGTCTATATTAAATTATGTTTGAATCTTTATCCAATAGACAAGAGTCGAGAAATCAATATTTAGTTTTTTTACTAAGGGTTGCTTGAATACAGCGATTGTATTTTTGCCCCCAACTTTGGGAGTGCAAAAGTAATATGCAAGAACAGGACCTTATGCTGACAAATGGCAGACCCCTGCCCCCCCTCCATACCACCCTCCATTTACTTCCTGTCTCTCTGTGAATTGTGTGAATGTTTGGATGTATTTGACAATCTCTTATTAGTTTCCGAGAGGTCTAATGGACTCTAATAAGGTCTTATGTTACCCTGGAGTGGGACAGCTGCACCAACAGGCCCCCGCAGCCCCCGCGTGCAGCCGTCGGGGGCCCCAACACGCAGCTCGCTCTCCAGGCCCTCTGTGTTAACAGATCGATGAGTGCATGCGGGTTAGGTCACGGTACAGGCAGATAGAGAGAAAGATGAAAACATATTTACAGCGCTACAGCCAGATAAAACAGAATGGAACAGATGTATAAGTATTTACATTTCCTAGCCACAAACTGGGCCCCAAAATATTATATTTCACCCCACAGAGAAGGTTGTTGGTTCATTATTAAACCGGCTGAACAAACAGAGCTTATTCATAATTGGATACTTTTCCCTAAATTGTTGTTTTACTAAAGCATACAAACAAAATGTGATTGAGCAGAGGCCACAAATGAATAATGTGGTCATTAAATATTCAGGCTGTGAGGAAGCAGCCGTGAGGTAGATTCAAGACTCGAAATGAAGTGTTTGTATTAGGCGTTGTTGGCTTTGACTGTTCTAAATCAGATGTGGATGGAGCACCTACGCTGAATATTTCATGCTTTGTTTTATTTGCCCGAAATCCCTCCAAGAAGCATCTTCTGTTTACCTAATTTATGCTCCATGACTGTGTGTGTTTGTGTGTCTGTCTGTGTGTGTGTGTGCAGGGGAGGAAGCGAGAGAGAGTGTGAGAGCAGTTGCTGTTGTTTACACAGACTCTAAAGTGTGTTTAAGGGCTTTAACAGAATACACTCTAGTATTAGACTGTCATTATCATTATCTTGCTTGGCGGTGTATTTGTGTATTTGTGTGTATAGCCAGACATGTCTGTGAAAGCGAGGATGTTTTTTCGGCGTGGCTTTGGCAATGGGACAACGTATGTGTGCATGCCTGTTTGTGTGGCTGCATGTACTTCACAGGTTTCAGTCGTAATTGCTGTGAGCAAATTTTGATATTTCATCTTCCATATCAGTGCAGATGTCATCGGATCTTTTGTCAGGGAGAATCGTCGTGAGTGGATGTGGCGTTTTTAGAGAATTTACGAGGTGAATGGACGCGTCACTCATCGTCTGGATTACTGTATGTTTTGTGAGCAGGCTTCGGCCTTTCCACGGAGAATGTGAGTCCAGATCTAATCTCGCTAAGTCAGTCTTGCATTCGTCATTAGAACAGACTGGAGCAGGTGAACCAGCTCCTATCTACCAACAGTGTGAAATTCCTGCGACCCTAATTTGATCCTAAAACAGCAAACGGATGTCTGTCCGTCCAGTTTGAGTGAGTGTGTGAGTGTGTGTGTGTGTGTGTGTGTGTGTGTGTGTGTGTGTGTGTGTGTGTGTGTGTTTGTGTGTGTGTGTGTGTGTGTGTGTGTGTGTGTGTGTGTGTGTGTGTGAGTGTATATATTGCAAATGCACGCAGCTGTTCCGCTGTACGTTGCGGCAGGTTTACATTCTTACTGGATTTATCAAGACACACAATCCTCAAAGTTGCCGGTATCATAATGCTTATTATAATTACACATACAGTAAATCAGTAAAAACATAGACACTCACGGATACACTCCAGCATTCTTCAGCCTGATGTTCTGGTTTTGCATGGATTACTTACCATATCTTAGTATACGTGGAAAGGAGAGAAGTTCATTTGGCCAAGTTTGAATGAACTATACAGATTAATATGATTAATTTTTGATCATTTTGTACTAATGTTACACTGGGCTGGGCTTTATATCGATATTATATCAACATCGTTAGAAATGGCCTTTGCTTTTGGTTATTTTAATATTACAAACATTGTGTTTAACTGGTTTTAAAGGCTGCATTCCAATAAAATAATGTACTTTTCTGGACCACCAGACTTTTCTCGCTCTTCAATTATGTGTACAGTATACACCCACTTAAGTCAGTAAATCTACATTACTGATGGTTATTCATCAAAATGCTGATTCTGAATATAAGTTGTGAAAGCGCCAATGGTCATGATCTTAACAAATCAGTTTTGAGTTATGGTAAAACCATATTGTATTATTTGATTTTCTTTATATGGCTTAGCCCTGTGGAACACGTTTTAAAATTATTGAAGAGACCGCAATGATCTCAGCCTTTCCAAATGACAAGGCCGTTCTCTCCTTGTTTACTTCCTCTCTTCCTTTCCTTCTCTCTCCACTCACCCTTGTGGCTGATGGTCTTGGCCGCCGGTTCAAAGCCCGCTGTCCATCTCACATCGAATGTTTTATATCACTCCACTCTCTGGCTTAAGTGATTTAGCTGCTGCCCTCATGCACACACATACTTCCAAGCAGACGCGTTATCATCTTTCATTGGCTTTGTCACGCAAAACCTCCATCAACCTGACCAGTGCAATGATTCAGCTTCCATTTCATCATTCGATCGGAAGCAAAGCTGTATTCAGCCTGAAAGATGATTCAAAAGATTCCATGTAATGTCATTGGGGGTTGCTAGAACTGGCAATGAGTCTCTTTCTATATTTCATCTCATTATTTTGG